TTGCCCTTCAATGGGTTAAGTAAGGTATTTCATACCAATTTACATACCCATATGCCCACACATTTTCATACCTGTGACTGTCGGGAGATCCGAGTCAAATCCAAAGTCTGTAGAATTGATGTTAACATTTCCAATCTGTGATCTGCAAGTCAGCCACCCCACCCCCCCACTCACCCATCAAAGGAAGTGGGGTTGTCATAATAAGATTGCTGCTTTGGCCAATGGAAAAACTGGCCTCAGGTCTGCTGCTGACTGCTAATGTGATAGGGCAAGTTACTCCCTCTCTCCAGGACTCAGTTTCCTCACCTGTAAAATAAAAGAGTCAGAACAGATCCTAGGTTTAGGGCTGAAAGGGACCTTAAAGGTCACCTAATCCAACTCTATTATTTTACAGTGGAGAGAACCAAGGTACAACAAGATTTCACACAAGTAGCAAATAGAGGCAGGATTCAAACTCTAGTTCTGTGACTCCAAAGCCAGTATTCTTTCCACTATGCCTGGCTGCACCTAGATAATGTCTAAGATCCCTTCTAAGATTTGCTTTTCTGTGGTTATAAGCTAATCCACATTTTCATCTCTGCTGCTGCAGGGTAATAATATAGTAAGAACACCAGATTTGCTGCAAGAATGCCGGAGTTTGACTTCCGGTGTTCCCACTTACTAGCGATTTGCCTGATCATGTAACTCCTCTGAGCTCTGGGTTTAACCTGTAAAATGTGACAATCATAGTAGCACTCCTTTCCTCATGAGGTTGTGAGAAAGAGCACTTTGTAAATGGTGAGTGACTACATAGAAATGTGAGCGGTCATCACCTTTTCTTGATAAAAAGTCAGTACAAGTTCTAGAGTACCACCAACCTTTGTTCTTTAGATCTGCTTAGCATTCTGATGAGTGCTAAGAGCATAACCTGTTTTCATTTTTGTAGTGCATGTACCATATGTTGTTGTATCTTATAGTTACTTGTGTATATTTTATTCTTCTATTCGACTGCAAGCTCTATGAGACCAGGGAACTCCTTGAAGGTAGAGACTTTTCATTTCTGGTTTTGTGCCTGGCACATAGTAGGTGCTTAATAAAGGCATGTTAATAGATTGTGGAAACATCGAGTGTACTGAAGGATCACAGGATTTGCGCGATGGTACTGCCCTGAGAGCTGGTGGTGGACAGTCACCTGTCAGGTGTGTCATAGTGGGCATTCCTTTTGTGTATGGATTGGACCACATGGTCACTAAGGTCTCTCCAGTTCTTTAGTTCTGTGATTCTCTGTTTCTGTAACCGGTCTCTTCTCTCCTTGCAGGTGCCTTTCATGTGTCTTGTCCAAGACCAGATTTTTGGTTCACTGATTTATGATAGTCTTGTCTTGTCTCTGTTTCATGGAGAGTGGGATCTTATTGCTCTATGTTCATTGGTCCTTGGAGAGTCATCTTGAGGGAATGGAGTCATTGTTGGTGGACAGTAAGAGGGGAGTCTCGATCAGGATGATCTAAAACAGCCAAGTATGACAAGAGTCTGGTCTAATGCAACAGCTTCCTATTTCCCTGCTTCCAATCTCTCCACACTTCAATCTATCACACCTACTATTGCCTAATGTGCATTTAAAGCCATGTCATTTCCCTGTTCTCTAGCCTCCAATACTTCCCCATTGGACACCTCGTAAAGTCCAAACTCCTATTTACCCATGACTCCTTGAACTGCTTCTCCACTTCCTCCCCAATGGCCTTCCATTGGCCTCACCTCTGATTGATAAGTTCTTCCCCAGAACGACTATTTGAGGACTTACCCATGCTAGCCTTGCTCAGCCCATCAATCCCCGGATTGCTTCTCCATCCCCACCTCGATGGCCTTCTCACTCTTGCAGCCCCTCTACTCTTATAGTTTTCTTTTGGTATTAATTCCTCCTCAATCTTCCATTTGAGGAATTATCCACACAAGCCATATTTGCTCCAAACCTTGGGCAAATTAGTTCATCTTGGTGCTTCTCAACTTTCATTTGATAGGATTTTGGCAAAGAATAGCTAATGAAATATTGTAATCCCTTAGTGGATACATAGTACTATCACATATAAATAAGTGCTAAGGGAATTATGGAATTCAAGAATTATGACATTGCAACAAATGCTGCAATAAGACAAGTGTTTTTCTAAGAGGACCATGACACTGTCAAGGAAACTCATTAAATGAAAATCAGAATTTTCATATATGTAAATATACACATTGAAGATTATCAAGAAGACAAGACATTAGCAATAACTTAAAATATTTCTTTCTACACAAGACTGATGTCTTTAAGATGTACAATCCAGCGTCTTCAGATACTGTAGACACGACTTTGGGAATGCCATTGCATTCATCAGAGTTTTGGGTCATTAATGGGTCCTTCAAAGTACAATGTACACTAGGGTATCTTGGTCCAAGCTGTCAGGGTCAGTGGATTCCCATGTTCTGAAAAAGGGAGCCTACTTTTAGTTGATTTGTATGTAGGGACTTTACACATAGAAGAGCATAGTACAGTGGTAGCCGTACTGGTTTGGGAGTCAGAAGACCTGGGTTCAAATCCTGGCTCTGTCCCTTATTAGCTGCATGACCCTAGGTAATTCACTTCATACTATGGCCTCCTATTTTCTCATTGGTAAGATGAGGGAATTGGACTAAATGACCTTCTGACTATGCTATGATTTATCAATGCATGGAGACAGAAAAGAACAGTCACCAGGCAGCCCTGAATGACAACCATTTCACATGGCTCCCCTTGAATCAAGATCCTTCTGAATCCTAAGAATGTAGTAGCCAACACTTGGAGTCTGCTTCATATAGATCTAGGTTTCTTTTAGAGCCAATAAACTCACCCTTTTTCGAGCTGAGTTGGGGTTTATGTTTAAACAGGGTCTCAGGGCAAAGAATGATGGGTAGAGGGGCCTTGGCTCAAGCTCAAGGGATGTCTTCTCCTTAGAGTTATACCACCCCCCTGGGATCAAGTACTGAACATATTCCCAGGCAGGCTCAGGGATGCTTTAATGGATACCACCCTAGGTCTACTTAGAAATAGCATGAAAGGGAAAGAGACGGACTACCTATATGAATTGAGGTGGGGGGTGGGGCTTGGGATGCTGCAGCACAGGCTAAACTAGATTCTTGCAATGCATATATTTAGACTGAGGGATTTCAGTTTACTGCTTTCAGCTACTGGGCCTTAACTGCTTCAGATTAGGTAGGCGTACTAATTCTGTCCTTTAAAGTCACATAAACCTGAGAGGCTGCTGATGCACTTATGTGATAAAGTCTGATAACGTTTACACCATAGTCATAGAACTTTGCTATCACTATAATTGATTGATAATGACTTTTAAAGGCTACAAAGACTTTGAAAGGCTAATGGAACACTGGCTTCTTAATCTCACATAATTTAAAATATTAATGTGATTTCCAGTCAATTCTATCACCAGAAAATATAAATTTTAAGTAGTTCTGAGCAAAATATTCAGTGTTCTTATTCAGGAAGTTAAGAATTGCTTAAAAGAATCCATTACTTTTCATTTTAAAAGGAAAAAAATGCCCTAATGCTAGGGGAAATAAAATGGTGTTTCTTTTAGAATTTCAACAGTGAATGCTCAATTCTCTGAACACGTGCAAATTTCCACAGTGACGCTCTATTCTCCACTCATGCATAAATCTCCCATTGAGGTCACTGGAAAGTCTAGGTATTTTAGGGAGTATGGGATCAGAGGAATGCTGACCTTCCGTGTACATTGGAGGGCTGGATCTGACTAGGGGATTTCCTGTCAAGAATCTATGTATTCGGTGTGACTGTTTGGTACTAGCAGGTTCCCAACTGGGGAAGAGAGCAGGAGACGCCAATCAACTGTTTTTCCTTATTACCCATTTCCATGTTCTTTTCTCTCCCTTAAAGGTTTTCTTCAAATGATGTGAGTATACAGCTCAGACTGTGGTGTTCAAACCTTTCAAATGAGGAAAAGTTGATTGTCAACTGTGAATTCTCCAGAATTGTCTCTGTGGACATTTGATAAACATGATAATCTAGCAGGGAGCCTGTTATTAAGCCAATTTGTATAGCAGGTAAACCTGATTTCCTAAAAGTTACTCATTGTAAAGCAAATGGTTAGCAACTATTCCAGTAGAATGTTAGCTCCTGAGGGTGAAGACTGTTTCATTTTTGTCTTTGCATCTCCATTGCCTAGCACAGTGCCTTGCATATATAGTAGGCACTTAATAAATGGTTAGTGAATTAGATTGTATTGAATTAAAATATGGAAGCCAAGATTTATCCATAATTTCTCTCTTTTTTTTTCCTTCTTGTTGAGGCAGTTGGGGTTAAGTGACTTGCCCAGGGCCACACAGCTAGTAAGTGGATAATTTCTTCATATGCTCAGAATCAAGTTTGTAACCTGTGAACATTTAAGAGACTCTATTCTGTCCTTTGGGATCCAAGGAACAGAATCATAATTTAGGGGTAAAAACAAATAAAACCAAAGCAAAGCTCAACTGAACACAGGAGAAAGTTGTCCTTGTTTATTTTCACATAATAATGAGATAATATATTTTCTTATGATAATGGGAGATGAAGTTGGACTAGGTGACTCCATGATCAATAATCTCACTATTTTTCCTCTCTTTCAGTGAAAAATTTTAATTTGCAGATGGAAGCTCTATAACCCTTCAGTGGAAAGAAGAGTGTAAGGGAAATATGCTCACCAGAAGGCAGGAGAACCGAGTCTTCACCCTAGTTCTGCCCCCTATCTATATGGTTTATGTCAAGTTCTTAAACCTCTGTAGACCTCAGTTTTCTCATCTGTATGAAGACATGTCTGCAGATTAGAAAGAGAACTGCATTTTGAATCAGAGGACCTAGATTCAAATCCCAGTTCTGTTCCTTGTGACAATGCACCTCGACTGTCTGGGCCCTAGGATCTTTATCTCTAAAACAAGGGGGTGGGACTTAGAGGATCTCTGAGGTCCCTTTCTAGTTCTAAATTATATGCCTCTAAGTCTTGCTGCCCAAAGCAGGGTGGATGAGAAAATCTGTGAGGTTCCTGGCAGCTCTAAAATTCTATTGCTCTTTTAGTTTAGGTCAAATGCCATTATACTGAAAACCACTCTGTAGAACAAACAAACAAACAAAAGATTTCCAAGCCCTAGACGATGGCCAGCATTTCAAATTACATTCCACCCTCCTCAAAACGAATTCTGGTATGACAAATTTGGACAGTTCCTTGTAATTCATTGCAATTGAACCCCTTTATATGATGATATTGTTCATACCATTTCTTCTTGGAATGCCAAGGATATGTAAGGCAGGATTATGGAAGCATTTGGTATCCCTGTTTGTTGCACTCAAGGACAAAAGAATAATGTCTTCTCGGGGGCTCCATGTACCTCATGTGGGAATTATCAAAAGTTCTATGACTCTGTCAGTGAAAGTCCCTCAGACTCTGAGAGACTGGAAATGGTGTTCATCTGTTTGAGCAATTTCTTCATTTTTGTACATGGATAGGATTTATGGCACCTTTACTCATCAATAAGAATGTCACATATCACAGGCAAGTATAACAGCATACAGACAATTTATTACACATCTGTTGATATCATTCCAACCTAGGGCCTTGAAGGCTAGAACTTCCTGATGCAGTAGCTAATGAAAGATTTAAAGAGAAACTTTATTTGGGAAGACAGATTCTTATCGAAGGAGAAAGGAAGAGAAAGATGAAAGAGTAACAAGGGGGGGAATCTTGAAGCACACGTAGAATTTAAGCAGACCTAAAATGGTTCGATTTGTCTCGTTAATACCAATCCAGTCTGAGAATAGAAAATATGGAGTACTCGGAGTCCAAAGACAAAAATACCAACCAACTACCTCCTCTCAACCTCTTTCTAAGTCCTTTCAACTATCTTGGGCTGATCTTCTTTTGCGAATGTTTGAGAATGTAAATTTAAATGTAAACAACGAAGTATAAAATAACATTTACTGAAAACTACCTTCAAAAATGTTTTGCCTGTGCAAATCAAGGTCATTATTTTCTAATGTTAGTGCTCTACCCAGACTGCCAACCTGGCTCCCACAGATGCCTAGCTCCCTACCTTTATCACTTAGCTTTAACACATAAAGGTCAACAACAGTATAGGCTATGGCGGCTTCCCATGTAGCGAAGGGCTTAAGGCACAGATATGAGGCATATCAGTGACATATTGGGACAGTAAGGATCAAGAACTCTGAAAATACTTTCAGTAAAATTCTTGGGAAGTATTTATATAAGGATAAAGTGCTTTCCTTCTCTCCATGAATATTCCATTAATATGATACATGTCACATAAAAAAAAAGTACAAAGCACTACTATCTTGTTTAGAAGTAGAGATCTGTCTCTGTGTATTACAAGAAACAGAAAAGATTCTCTAGGTGGAAAATTTCTGCTGTGACCTCTAAAACTGTACCTCTTTGGGTCAGACCTGCATATGTCAAGCGGCCTGTTGGGCTACCCACTACTTCATTTCCTGAGCAACTTTGGAGTTCAGCTCTTGGCCTCTTGGAAAACTGATCCACTGATTAGGTTTTTTTTCTTTTTTTAAATCAAGCAACATGCCTTTCAATGCCCCCAAACCTAAATCTCTGAAAATCTGGTCTTTAATAAAGACAAAGATACTACCTCCCCTCTCTCAATTTCTAAGTCCCTTCCATTCTCTTGGGCTGATCTCTCGAGATTGTTTGAGAATTTAAATTTAAGCCTAAACCGCTCTAGCTCCTTAACGGCCTCAACTGAAGAGACCCCTCGGGATGCCACATGGAACTTTCTACATGGCCAGCTCCTCTCGGCTGGTTACTGCTGACTCAGTCTCTTCTGCAGGATCGCGGCTATTCTCTGCCTGGTTTCGCTGACAGAAGCCGCCTTTCCCTTGGGAGGTTTGGGGATAAGGAAGCCGGCGCTGCTCCCACGTGGGGACTTGTGCGGGCTGTGAGAGTTAGGGGACTTGGAGGAGCAGTGCAGGACGGGGACTTTGATTGGCTTTCCCGGGGCTGTGCTGGCGAGGCTTTTGCCTCCGTTGCTGACCACGGGAGCAGCCGGGGAGGCTGGGTTGCCCTGACTGAGCGAACAGCGGGATAATGGGAAGCCCCCATTGAGTTTCTGGACTTCCAGCAGCTGTTCGCGGGCCTGGCTCAGAGCTTCGGTCAGCTGGAAGCGTTCTTCACACTCTCTCCGCACTGTTTCCTGAAGAAAGGTGTTCTGAAAATAGGAAAGAGAGAGCCCGTCTTGAGTTGCAGAGCACGGAGGGCTGGCTAGTGGGCAACACTTCCCTCGGAGCTGGAACTCTGTCCCACTCTGCCATCTGGAGGGGCCAGAGAGGCTCAAGGGGCCGAAAACCTGGAAGGGGCTTCAGAAAGCATCGAGGTCAAGTCCTCAAGCTTTTAGTACGCTCCTACCAAGTAGGAGTTGAGTAATTGCACATTACTAATGCAACGTGTCCAACATTGCCCTAAGTGCTGGAAGAGGCTTGGTTGGAGTCACCCAGCTACTCTAGGAGGAGACCAGGACTAGAACCCAGATGCGCTCCTCATCAGTCTTGCGCTCTTCGAACTCTCACGCCTCATGTCTCTGACACGTGCTCCACTTTGCTCAAGGGGACGTGGCCGAGCAATCTACCTTAAGGAAAAGTTATTGTGTCATGGAATCCAGTGAATTGAACGCAACACAAGAAAAGTATATTTATCCATATAGGTATGTATATGTGCATATATTATGTGTGTACATGTATGTATATACACATGTGACACATATATATATATATATACATATATACAGTTTTAACTATTCTGAGAAAATGCTGTCTGCTGGAGTTAGTTCAAGGCCAATGATAAGAAGTGGTTATGATTAAAAATAATATTTTAGGATTTACAAAATGCTTTTCCATAGATGCCCTTTTATTTAATCCTCCCAACTACAGATAAAAGGCATTCCCATCCCCGTTTTACTAAGGAAGGAGGTAATCCACAGGGAGCATAAGCTCAGTGACTTGTCCACTTGTTACATGACTGGCAGACAACAAATCTGGGTCTTGAGCCCAGATCATACCAATCATTTCACCTTCCCTAGGTCTGCTTCCTCATCCAGAAAATGAGAGGGTTGGATTACATGGCTGCTGAGGTTGCTTCCAGCTCTACATTTATGATTCACATAGGCAAAGTTAAATGGCCACCTTACATAATTCAGCGAGGTTTGTTTTTTAGATTGAATTCTATTCAACTCATTTATGTTTGTGAATACAGCCAAGGCATTATAAAGCTTTAGATCACAACCAGAAAAAAGATTCTTCCTTTCATTTTTTTACTGCTTAAATCTAAGGGTAATGAGCTGCTGTCAGCTGACTGAACACACAGGAAAATGTCATGGAAAGCTGATCCTCCAGGTGTTTCGGATCATTGTAATTGTGGTTTCATGAGTAAATTCATGGCGCACATTGAATAAGATGTTCCATCTCCCAATGTTAGGAATTGTTAGCAGGTCGTCCCCCATACCTAGAATGCTCTCCATTCTCATCTCCACCTCCAAGCTTCCCTGACTTCCTTCAAGTCCCAGCTAAAATCAAGCCTTCTCAATTCTAATCCTTCTCAATTCTCATGTCTCCCCCTGTGATTATCTCTAATTTGTTCCTGATAAAACTGGTTTGTACATAGTTTGTGGGTTGTCTCCTCCATTAGAATGGGGGCTCCTTGAAGGCAGACACTGTTCTTTTCCTTTATTTGCACCCCAACACTTAGCACAGTGCCTGACACATAGTAGATACCTAATAAATGTTTATTGACTGACTTCCATTTGAAAAAAAACAGAACTGAGCAAAAATTCTGAATGCAAACACAAGAGCCAAGAGAAACAGAGAAAAACAAATGCAAATGAGTAATTAAAAGGAACTAAATAATGATGAAATGCTTACAGTCTAATGGGGAGAAAAGAGCTATATCCCTTCATAATCCAACCGACTCCCAAGAGAGGGAATTAAGTAGCATAGAAACACAGAGACCAGGAGTGGTTTTTCTTTTCTTTTTTTTCTTCTTTTTTGGTTTTAATGAGAGAAAAAGACTAGGTACATAAGACCCAGAAGAAACTGAACATAATAGTGTAATTCTCCAACCACTAGGGTAAAGACTTAGTATTTGACAAAAACTGATGAGAAAACTGGAAAGCAGTCTAGAAAAAAATAGATTTAGATTAACAACATATCTCACATATAAAAGGGGAAAGAGAGGGAGAGAAAGGGGGAGAGAGAGAGAGAGAGAGAGAGAGAGAGAGAGAGAGAGAGAGAGAGAGAGAGAGAGAGAAGGAAGGAAATATTTATTACAGCTATGGAAAAAGGAAGAGTTATTGACCAAACAAAGAATAGAGACTATCACAGAAGATGAAATGGACAATTTTGATTATATAAAATTGAAAAGCTTTTGTAAAAAATAAATCAATACAGTTAATATTAGAAAGGAATCAGTTAACTGGTTAAAAAAATGCATTAAATTTCCCAAATCAAGATCTGCTTTCTCAGATATATAGGGAATTGATTCAAATATATAAGATGAAGAGCCATTTCCCAATGGTAAAAGGATATGAACAGACATTCTCAAAAGAAGAAAATTAAGTTATGAAACACCATATGAAAAAAATGCTCCACAACATTAATAATAAGAGAAATGTAACTCAAAACAACTCTGAGGTTCTACCTTATACCCATCAGATTGGCAAAGATGATGATCCCCCAAAATTTTAGAGGGGCTATGGGAAACAGGCATACCAGGGAAGCTAGGTGGTATAGACAAAGTGCTAGAGTCAGGAAGACCTGAGTTCAAATTCTACCTCAGACAGCTGTGTGACCCTGGGTGTCACTTAACCTCTATGTACCTTGGTTTCTTCATTTGTAAAATGAGGGCATCTATGGTTCCTTCCAGCTTTCAATCCATGATTGTATGACCCTACAGTGCCCTGCTATTGCACTGTTGTTGTTCCAACCATTCTTAAAAATAAATTATACCCCCCAACTTCAATGAGTTAACTATGCAGACTGTATACCCCAAAGAGATCAAAGAAAGAGGGAAAGTGCTTGTATGTACAAAAATATTTGTAACAGCACTTTTAAACAAAAAAAAAACTGGAAAAAATGGGTGAACATATAAAAAATAATGAACTATTGTTTTCCACACGAAACTACAAAAGGAGCAGATTCAGAGGAATCTGGAAGAACTTTTATGCAATGATTCAGAGCAGAAATGATTCAGGCAAACAAAACTGGAAGAACAATGCCAATTCAAAACAACTGTAAACGATTTGTGAACTATGATCGATGCAGTAACTAAACATGACTCGGAGGACTGATAATGCCCATCTCTGGGCAGAGAGATGACAGACTAGAGGAGCAGAAAGAGGTGGCCAATGTGGCAACCTGCTTTGCTTGACTACACTCATTTGCTTTAAGAGAGGACTTTTATATACAAAGGGTAGGGGGTGAGTAAAAGAGTAATGAAGGAGTTTGAGGGGAATGTAGTGATAGTGAAACAAAAAAATACAAGAGTGGAAGGAAATTCAGCAGGGGACACAGACAACAAGCAGGACAGTTCTGGAACTACTAGGAAAATCTTACATATTCTTTAAAAATAAGTTGTCCATAACAGAGACCCATGACATCATATGTAATATTTTTGTTCTAGTCCTTACATAAGGAACTGTTCATTTGTCAAGTTTACATGATAATAGTAATTAATTTAAAAAAAAGATTTAGGGAAATGTTTTTGCATAGTGGATGGATCTGTTGTGGTAAACTTTTGAGAGTTCATAGCTAAGAGTCTCACAGGATGGGCAGGCATGAAGGGGTTGAAGTCTCTTATCATTCAAGGATATAACCATATCCACATGACCTCAAATCCATTGGACTGTTGTAGTGACTGTGGTACTTTATGCAATAACTTTCTCCCTCTTTGGTCCCTCCCCCTCACTGGGGATCATTCACATTTGAGTGGCAATTGGAAAAGACAGAGAAGGAACCAATGAGGCTTGACAGGCAAATGGGGAGGGGGGTGCCATAGAGGTTTCAAGCTCAGGGATGAGCCTCCAATTTCTGGGAACTGTTTTTGAATCCACTTCCCCTGTGCCATAACAAATATCTAGTACCACTGAGCAGTTGGAAATACCTACCAGCAACAGGGGAGTGGCAATATTGTCGTCAGTAACTGGTAAGACATAAGATAGCACCCAGATTGTTCAGATTAGAGTAAGAAAGGAAATCAATGAACTGTATTGAAAACTTCCTGAATTTGGGCCATAGGTACAATTGTTTAAAGTCTGCTTAACTGCAGGAGAAGCTATAGGGATATGGTGGATATTCTATTATTCATTGTATGATCCCTTTTATTCACTGTAGTTCAAAAGTAAAAATACTGGAAAGAGTATCCAAGCATGACTATTTGTTTGCAGGGATGGCTAAGTCCATTATGCTGAGGTCACATGATTAAGGCTCTGAGAAACACAGAAGATTCAAAAAAGAGGTGGGGCTGCTGGTAGGTGGGGCTAAAGAGCAATTTTCTAATTGAGTGAATTCATACTAACCAAACAAGATGAATGTAGGCCCCCAGGGAAATTCAGAGTTGGAAAATAGGAGGTACTCATTCTCTAAGAACCAAGGAGATCTTGGCATTTACCCAGAAAATCCCCTCAATGAGTAGAAACACATAATCACTAGGGTGGGAGCTTCCTGTATACTGGGCCTTTTGGGGAACAGGATCAGGTTAGTGGCTAATAATGCCACCTGGTGGCTAAATTACCACAGAAAGTGAGAATTTGATGCAATACAGTGTTGGTCATCATAATAATGAGATGAGAACTATGGGATTCTAGGTCAGATAGTTGTAGTTATTTATGTACAAAATAAATTGGATGTTAGAGATAAAGTAAGGAGCTATAGTTCATGTACTCTATATTAAAGCTTAAAATTGTAAAGTTTTAGAACACCTCATATAAGAAAACCTACATGCTTGTCCCTGTTCCAGATTAACAAATCTATTTGTTAGGTAAGCAAGGTAAGCAAGGAGGCAAATTTGACCTCATTAAGATCACAAACATATTGACCAGACTATATAATATAATATAATATGATAGGTGATATATGCCTTTGGAAAGTTTTACCTTAATTTCAAAGAAATGAAGTTAGTAAAATGGTATGAGGATAAAATAGTGTTGAATATTAAGGGAAC